CACCTAGCTTTCACAACAAATTAAAAGTGTACCTAGCTTTCTCAACATATTAAAAGCACACCTAGCTTTCACAACAAATTAAAAGTGTACCTAGCTTTCACAACAAATTAAAAGCACACCTAGCTTTCTCAACATATTAAACGCACACCTAGCTTTCACAACAAATTAAAAGCACACCTAGCTTTCTCAACAAATTAAACGCACACCTAGCTTTCACAACAAATTAAAAGTGTACCTAGCTTTCACAACAAATTAAAAGCACACCTAGCTTTCTCAACAAATTAAAAGTCCACCTAGCTTTCTCAATAAATGGTTGAAAAGCTCAGAATCAATGCAATTGCTGTAGTCATGCTTTGCTATATTTATACTGTATTTGCATTCAAAATGTATAATCATTGAAAATAAGATGAATTAAAATCAAGTGAATATCTGTTGTACAAGTCCTCTGGATAACCTAATATGGTTGACTGCAGGCTCGATTATGCATGGAATGTTCAAAGTTTTAATTGAATAAAAGTGTGTTCATACAATGTTGAAAAACTTACAATTGACAAAAACGAATACACTCCATAACTTATTTATCATATGTGTTTCACTCATAAATAATTTAATATCACTCACAAAAAATCAAAAAGTTTTGTATTTGATCTGTATGACTTTTCAGTGGCTCACCTAGTTTGGAGAAAATTTCCATCAATTTTATGAATTGACTATCTAGCTTAGGGTATTTTATTTTTAATAGACTACCTAGTTTAAAGAATATTTCCATTCTGAATAGACAGCTATCCGTACGTCAGTCTGTATTACTAAATGTAACAATTACAAAACAACAAAAAATACAAAGCTAGGGATTAACATACAGCAAATACAAAGTTGATTGTGTAGCCTTATATTGAACATATTAAACTATCCTCGGGGGAGGAGCTACGTCACGGACGTTCTACGTTGCTAAGACGCGCACCACTGTACCACGTATTTCTATGGACTTTGTGCGCGCTGCTGTGGAACGCCAGTGGAGCCGGTGAAAACTCGAGAAAACAACACAAACTCAACTTTGAAGTAATCCTGAACAACCAAATTCATATATGTTACACACGTAGGGCTAATCTTATTACACTGTTCAGGGGACTCTCAACAACCATCGCAAAGTACCGTTTTCTGCGAGTTTTTGGTCTTTGTTTTCACCGCGAGGGTTGCCAGGCGGTAGAAAATGCCCGGATGTCCGCCCCCGAGAATACATGAACAACAGCAAGATTTAGAACCAACAATCACAGATAAGGAATAGAAATGAAATGCTGAGTATAATTGCAATGACAGCTAACCTTGCCATAGCGAAAGATTGAGTGATAGATGGGATCAAGCCATCAGTCATTTCATATTACACAATGAGGAACAATTCAAATACATTAAACAGAGAGCTTATTGATTGCGATACACTTATTTGTTATTAATGAGTGTTGCGTTGATGTGTCACATTGTATTGAATTTCTTCTCCAGTCAATTAACCTTGAATCAGGGCTCACTATTTAAATAAATAAATAAATAGGAGCTACATAAGTTACAAATCAAAAGTTGCATTGCATAAAATCAACACAAATTGAATCAATGTGTACCAACCCAGTATTCGGGAAGAAAGGGGGTGTGTCCATTGTAGAAAAAAAAGATTTAGGTGGAGTCTGTGATCTCTTATAGTTGAAATTGTTGTTTTATTTTGGTTATATTGTGACTGGCAGGACCACTAATTCTATCCTTCAGTCTGAGCTCCATTAAAGGAAAAGAATTTATCCTTGTGTACACCAAATAACTTGAATTTGGTGAGGTGTGAAGTGGCCGGTCGCACAGCGCCCTCAATAATTTAAAGCTGGTTCTTTTGGGTATAACTATTTTAGGTCACTAGAAATGTTATTAAAGACACAATTTTTCTTCAATCTCATAAGTAAGATCAAATTCAATAATATGCAAAGATTTTCGATGAAAAACAAAATCCCCGTAAGAGATTGTAGCTAAGATACATATAAAAAACAACCAGCTGTGCGAAAAGTAAAAAACGACAGATCGGTGAATAATTTGCCTTGAGGGCAGCCTCTCTATCCCGGAGATCCCCGAAGCAGGTGTTCAAAGATGGCGGCCTAACAATAACGTAGTTGATTGAAATATTTAGGCGAAGGTAAATATCGATTGTCCGTTTCGTATGGAATTGTCAGTGTCACGTTTCATGATAGGTATATGATGAGTAATATATGGTTAACCGGTTTCTTTTGTTGATTGCTACTAAGTAGGAACACTTCACTTTTAAGGTTTCGATAATATCGCCCTGACCTGATACAACGAACCATTCGCTCTTTCCTTTTCGTTTACCAGTTGCTATACTCTGCCGTGTAACGTTTACTATAGTGTCTCATTGTTTTTCACCTCTGTAGCACCTTGACATAATCTTCTAATGGTGTCGGTGAGTTATTAGAGAAACGTTTCTGGTCCTTGTCAATGGAAGTGTGGTCTCTACAAACTTGGTATGGAGTGGTAGCCATTTGTCAGGAGAGACGAAACGATACTATTTAAAATAAATATTACAAGGAAAACTACTTAGCACGTGTGGAATAGATAAATGATATCGGTCTTCCTTCTGAAAACATGGAGATTATTATCTCTACAAATGTATGTCTGTATTTTAAAAGAACATCAAGTTAGTGTCAACTGTGTGAGATCATTGCATAGGAATGATTTGACTTGATATGCCCATACATTGGTTGTGTGGCAGTAATATCAACAACAGTGTAGTAGAATCCAGAACATTGTGCGTGGTTGATCAGAATACTGAATTTGAGGCTTCAGATAATACAGAAACAATTGTAAGAAGGAACTGTACCATGCCTATCTACCATGAAAAGCAGAAGCGGGAACTATGTGCATTGCACGCACTTAATAATGTTTTCCAAGATGGCCAAGCCTACAACAAGCAAATGTTGGATGAAATCTGTCAAAAGTAAGTATTGATTTTCCTGCAAACTTGTCCATCATCATTATTATTATATTCATAATCATTCATTTCCGTTTTTCATTTCTGTACATTCTCAAAGACAGCTACATTGCCAAGAAAGAACAGTGAATTTTCGGATTAACATCTCTGTTTTTCCCATCGTTAACCAACTTTCCCTCACGCTAATGAAAATATCTTTTGTCTTGCACTGACTTTCTGTTCTGGTCTGCCTTTGAAGATGAAAATTATCATCAATATATCGGTAGCAGGTCAACTCGACCCCCCATATAAGTGTTCATGTAAGTGACGTCTCTTCAAGCTTACACTTGACGCATGGGTTTTCGACAACGACTGCACAGCGACTTCTCTGGTTTCTGGTATTCATAACGTCGGATAGATATTGCTATAGGTTTCTGAGAATGGAGGATATTTGTGCACTTGATGATTATTAACCATAACGCACACGAGGATATCTTAATTTTAAGTAGGTGAAATCGACAACGCAGCGTGTCCACCACCAATACCTACACTATGGGGGTCGAGTTGACTTGGGGTTCAGTTGACCAGAAGCCCAGTATATCCTGAGATGTTGTTTTCAAGAAAGAAAATGGAGTGTCAATGAGACTTTGTACTACTTCCTGTTGTTCTGCAACTTTCACTTCTGCATATCAGGCATCTGCATTGTTGCTGTTTTAAAATCATAGAGCTAAAATGTATGCCTGTCGGTTACTCTACTGAGAAAACAAAGTTAAAAGGACTGGAAATTTGTAAATTTTTCATAAGTTTGGTTGTCACATAGTCTAGTACTTACTGGTAATGTGGATCCCTCCCATCCTCCAACACAACTGGGTCTAGCTGATATGCAAATATATGGTCAGATCACAGAACATAATACATGTATACCAATTTTGAGAATATTGATCATTGCATTCTATAGATACAGATAGTGAAAACAAAATAGTCACTTTTCAACCATCTTGAATATCTTTAAAGTTGTATTATTGGCAAAACTTAGTTGAAAGCCTTAATTTTAATTGTCTTGAGTAACTTCATCGAAAATCAAATCAACTAACCACCTAAGTACATAAGTCAGCTCAGATGCAGTGATAGCACAGGTAAAATAGTTGTCCATTAAATGATTGATGACCCTAAGATGCTAAAAACTCTATCACAACTGAATGGCAACAGTGACCATATTTTGCGATATCAAAATTGCAACAGTAACCATATTTATTTGATATCAAAATTGCAACAGTAACCATATTTTGTGATATAAAAAAATGGAACAGTGACCATATTTATTGGATATAAAATGACACAGTTACCATATACAGTGTATATGCGATATAAAAAATGGCCACAATGACCATATTTATGCGATATAAAAATGCCACAGTGACCATATTTATGCAATATTACAATGCCACAGTGACCATATACAGTGTATATGCGATATAAAAATGGCTACAATGACCATATTTATGTGATATCAAAATGCCAGTGACCATATACAGTGTATATGCGTTATAAAAAATGGCTACAATGACCATATTTATGTGATATCAAAATGCCAGTGAACATATCTATGTGATATCAAAATGCCAGTAATCATATTTATGTGATATCAAAATGCCACAGTGATCATATTTATGTGATATCCAAATGCCACAATGACCATATTTATGCGATATCCAAATGCCACAGTGACCATATTTATGAGATATCAAAATGCCAGTGACTATATACAGTGCATATGCGATATAAAAAATGGCTACAATGACCATACTTATGCGATATCAAAATGCCACAGTAATCATATTTATGTGATATCAAAATACCAGTGACCATATTTATGAAATATCAAAATGCCAGTGACCATATTTATGCGATATCAAAATGCCAGTGACCATATACAGTGCATATGCGATATAAAAAATGGCTACAATGACCATACTTATGCGATATCAAAATGCCACAGTAATCATATTTATGTGATATCAAAATGCCAGTGACCATATTTATGAAATATCAAAATGCCACAGTGACCATATTTATGAAATATCCAAATGCCACAGTGACCATATTTATGAGATATCAAAATGCCACAGTGACCATATTTATGAGATATCCAAATGCCACAGTGACCATATTTATGCGATATCAAAATGCCAGTGACCATATTTATGAAATATCAAAATTCCACAGTGACCATATTTATGCGATATCAAAATGCCAGTGACTATATACAGTGCATATGCGATATAAAAAATGGCTACAATGACCATACTTATGCGATATCAAAATGCCACAGTAATCATATTTATGTGATATCAAAATGCCAGTGACCATATTTATGAAATATCAAAATGCCACAGTGACCATATTTATGAGATATCAAAATGCCACAGTGACCATATTTATGAGATATCCAAATGATAGTGACCATATTTATGCGATATCAAAATGCCAGTGACCATATTTATGAAATATCAAAATGCTACAGTGACTGTATTTATGAGATATCAAAATGCCATAGTGACCATATTTATGTGATATCAAAATGACAGTGACCATATTTATGAGATATCCAAATGCCAGTGACCATTTTTATGAAATATCAAAATGCCACAGTGACCATATTTATGAGATATCAAAATGCCACAGTGATCATATTTATGAGATATCCAAATGCCAGTGAACATATTTATGTGATATCAAAATGCCACAGTGACCATATTTATGTGATATCAAAATGCCACAGTGACCATATTTATGTGATATCAAAATGCCACAGTGACCATATTTATGTGATATTATAATGCCAGTGACCATATACAGTGTATATGCGATATAAAAAATGGCTACAATGACCATATTTATGTGATATAAAAATACCAGTGACCATATTTATGAGATATCAAAATGCCACAGTGACCATATTTATGCGATATCAAAATGTCACAGTGACCATATTTATGTGATATCAAAATGCCAGTGATCATATTTATGTGATATAAAATGCCAGTGATCATATTTATGTGATATCAAAATGTCACAGTGATCATATTTATGTGATATCAAAATGTCACAGTGACCATATTTATGCAATATCAAAATGCCACAGTGATCATATTTATGTGATATCAAAATGTCACAGTGACCATTTTATGCAATATCAAAATGCCACAGTGATCATATTTATGTGATATCAAAATGTCACAGTGACCATATTTATGCAATATCAAAATTCCACAGTGATCATATTTATGCGATATCAAAATGCCACAGTGATCATATGTGATATCAAAATGCTAGTGATCATATTTATGTGATATAAAATGCCACAGTGATCATATTTATGCGATATCAAAATGTCACAGTGACCATATTTATGTGATATCAAAATGCCAGTGACCATATTTATGTGATATAAAATGCCACAGTGATCATATTTATGTGATATCAAAATGTCACAGTGACCATATTTATGCAATATCAAAATGCCACAGTGATCATATTTATGTGATATAAAATGCCAGTGACCATTGCGATATCAAAATGCCACAGTGACCATATTTATGTGATATCAAAATGCCAGTGATCATATTTATGTGATATAAAATGCCACAGTGACCATATTTATGTGATACCAAAATGCCACAGTGACCATATTTATGTGATATTATAATGCCAGTGACCATATACAGTGTATATGCGATATAAAAAATGGCTACAATGACCATATTTATGTGATATAAAAATACCAGTGACCATATTTATGAGATATCAAAATGCCACAGTGACCATATTTATGCGATATCAAAATGTCACAGTGACCATATTTATGCAATATCAAAATGCCACAGTGATCATATTTATGTGATATCAAAATGTCACAGTGACCATATTTATGCAATATCAAAATGCCGCAGTGATCATATTTATGTGATATCAAAATGTCAGTGACCATATTTATGCAATATCAAAATTCCACAGTGATCATATTTATGCGATATCAAAATGCCACAGTGATCATATTTATGCGATATCAAAATGTCACAGTGACCATATTTATGTGATATCAAAATGCCAGTGATCATATTTATGTGATATAAAATGCCACAGTGATCATATTTATGTGATATCAAAATGTCACAGTGACCATATTTATGCAATATTAAAATGCCACAGTGATCATATTTATGTGATGTAAAATGCCAGTGACCATTGCGATATCAAAATGCCACAGTGACCATATTTATGTGATATCAAAATGCCAGTGATCATATTTATGTGATATAAAATGCCACAGTGATCATATTTATGTGATATCAAAATGTCACAGTGACCATATTTATGCAATATCAAAATGCCAGTGAACATATTTATGTGATATCAAAATGCCAGTGATCATATTTATGTGATATAAAATGCCAGTGACCATTGCGATATAAAAATGCCACAGTGACCATATTTATGTGAAATCAAAATGCCAGTGACAATATTTATGAGATATCAAAATGCCACAGTGACCATATTTATGCGATATCAAAATGCCACAGTGATCATATTTATGTGATATCAAAATGCCACAGTGACCATATTTACGTGATATCAAAATGCCACAGTGATCATATTTATGTGATATCAAAATGCCACAGTGATCATATTTATGTGATATCAAATTGCCAGTGACCATATTTATGTGATATCAAAATGCCACAGTGATCATATTTATGTGATATCAAAATGCCAGTGACCATATTTATGTAATATCAAAATGCCACGGTGACCATATTTATGTGATATCAAAATGCCACAGTGATCATATTTATGTGATATCAAAATGCCACAGTGATCATATTTATGTGATATCAAAATGCCACGGTGATCATATTTATGTGATATCAAAATGCCAGTGAACATATTTATGTGATATCAAAATGCCACAATTACCATATTTATGCGATATCAAAATAATTTGGTGTGTACTTATGACATCATAT